TTATTATTGTGACAATCATTAGTAAAGCAATGCTAATAAAATTTTGTGACATACAAAACAATACAAGTAACTTTTAAAATTTGTATATTAAATATTATAAGCTTTATATGGATCAGTATTAAAAATACTTTCATGTAAATGCAGCAAAAATAACATAGTATAGTTGCCGAAAAAGGACATAATAGGTTCCTTTTAGACATAAACGTAAGATAAAAATACAAACATAGTCAGATTGAAATACAAAGATGGCAAGATAGAAAAATATAAACCAATACTTAAATATTGATTCATAAGTGATGCTATTTTTAAACTGAAGCATGCTATGGCTGAATGGAAACGATTATAAAATAATGCATACAACTGAAAAAGCAAAATAAGAATGTAGCATATTACATAATCAAGAAAGACTACAGAAACTGATCCCGCATGTGCTGCTATTTAAAGCATTTATCAATCCATGGTCTTATCAAATCAACGAATGAATGAAAAAATAACAGACCATAATAATTTAATGGAAACAAAGGTAAATGACCTAATATAAAACAATCTGAATCTCTGCTTCTTCATTGTTGTCACCCAGATGTAAGTTGTGCATGGTAAAGATCTGATTGATATCACTGTAAAGGTGCCCATACACTGCACGATTATCGTACGATAATCGTATGCGATCGGTTTTTCGTACGAGAATCGAGCAGTGTGAACGGAGACGTGCGACCGTTTCTACTGTACGGTCGCACGTCTTCTGTCGAACCAGCATGTTCGAAAACCAGCCGGGAATCGTACGATTCTCGGCTGGTTAGAACGGTGCTCGGAAGACAAATGCCGAACGGGCCGGTGTGCGCACGTGCACACTGCCCGTTCAGCATTGCAGTCATCGAAAGTACGATCTGCCTTGCCAAGATGGGCAGATCGTACGTTTTTTTAATCCCTGTACAACCATCGCAAGACTAAGGTCTTGCGATGGTTGTAGAGTGTATGGCCACCTTTATGCAGACCCACAGCAGGTTTCTGCGCAGTACATGCCTGCTGCAATAAGGGTGTCTCACTATGCAATAGAGCCACTCTAATCAGTACACCTGATTACTGACTGATAGTACCTGGCAAATCTGCACAGAAGGTATGTTCACTAAGCCATGTTATATTGAAATGTCTTTGCTTGTCCTTTTAATAATACAATTAGCAGCAAATTAGAGTCTTTGTACTCCAGTTTGTAGAAGTTTATTAAATACCACTGTAGGAAGGCATGCAGTTATTTCCTGTATGGTCAATTGTAGAAGGAGATTAGGGCATACATTTCATAACTTGCGGTCCAATAAATAAAATAAAAAAAAAACATTGCTATGGCATGTGATATTATGAACCTTATGAAGCAATATATTATGCAGCAATACAAAGTAATATGAAGCTACATATCCTGTGTTGTTCCGGGGTGGCGCCCTGATGTCTCCAGGGTCTCAGGTGGCATGTGCGGGCTCTCACCAGGGCTGTGCAGGCTCTCGGGTGGACTCCATGGGCTCTCAGGTGGACTCTGCAGGCTCTCTCGGGTGGGCTATGCGGGCTGTCAGCTAGGCTGTGCGGGCTCTCAGGAGGATGTGCGGGCTCTCAGGTGGGATGTGCGGACTCTCAGGTGGGCTATGCAGGCTCTCAGGTGGGCTGTGCGGACTCTCAGGGGGACTATGCGGACTTTCAGGTGGCCTATGCATGTTCTCAGATGGGCTATGCAGACTCTCAGGTGGGTTATGCGCACTCTCAGGTGGGCTGTGCGCACTCTCAGGTGGGCTATGCGCACTCTCAGGTGGGCTATACGGGCTCTCAGGTGGGCTGTGCGGGCTCTCAGCTGGCTGTGTTGGGTCCCAGGTGGGCTAAACAGGCTTTAAGGAGTGCTGTGCAGGCTGTGCGGTGTCTCACCAGGGGTCCGAAGGTGGGCAGCCTGGTGTCAGGAAGATGAAGGAGGCTAACAGGTAGGCTGCCGAGGTCCCCAGCAAGCGCTGCATCTGTCAAAAAATTCAAAGTGCCGTTATCAGCACTTAGTGTCTTCTGTCTGCGTGTCAGCTGACCTCAAATCCAGACAAACGACTCAATAACCGGACTGTCCAGGTTTTGGCAACCCTATCAGAGAGAATAAAATTCTAAAAAGTGGATAAAGTGAAACCTGAGAAACCATTTTTTTGTTCTTTATCTTTCTTTGTATTGACAATCTAGATTTTGCAATTGTGCTTTCTATTTTGAAAAAAGGAAATGACTCTTTTGTGCGTGACTTTGGCTGCTAAAAATAAGGACTCGCTTTACTTTTCCTGCTGGATTAACCTTGTGTTCAAAAATCATTTGAATAGCGTTATGAAAAAGGTTTCCAATTCTTTGATGCCACTTTTTTCCATCTGAACTCCTAACCAGGGTAATGTTTATTCACACATTATACTGTATTTTATATATACAAGAATAGACTTTGTACGAATTATATTGTGTTCCGTTTAATTTAAAAAAATAGTTTAAATTATGTAAATGTAAATTTCTTTCTTTGCCATATCTGTAGGTACAGAAAGTCACACTTCGTTCCTTCCACAAAAGATCTCAAGGAAAAGCATCTTGTTCTATGGATCCAACCAGAGATCTGCTTATTTGGGCTATTGTTCAAAACCGTAAAGAACTTGCAGACATCTTTTGGGCACAGGTAAGAACAAATATTTATTTACTGAACAATTGCAGTAAATGTTTAACAACTCAGTTCAGTGTGCACTCCAACCCCACTTCCATGATCTGTAAGATGCCGAGTGCATGGTGGATATACCATGCATGCAAAGAAGGTACATCAAAAAAGGTACATGTGGCAGGTGTGGTGACAACTAGTGGAAATATGAGTGCTGGAGGACAACAGTCTACCATAATGTGCAAGCTTCCTGTTCAGACTTAACCTCTTGCCGTCCGCCCGTAGTAAAAAAACGGACGGACGGCACTGCAGCATCTGCGGGTTGCCGTCTCCAGACGGCAATTTTTTTCTGCTCGCGCGCGCCCCCTAGCGGGCACGCACGGGCAGAAAAGACCCGTCCAATGCGAACACCCGGTACCGGGTGTTTCACATATAGGCGATCAGCGGGTCCATAGCC